TAATTTACGTAGATATTGTGCGGATCTGGAAGGTGGGTTGAACATGACTTTATTTTGGCAACACAAAAATTATTTCAATGTGGGTAATGGCGGCTCAGGCCCTGCTCGCCCACCCATGCCTCAGGGAGCACCTCACTCGCCTCAGCCATCCGGCCCAAGCAGGCCCGTTGTGCCACCAACGGCTGCGCCAGCTACCGCATCACCCCATCCGATGCCTCCACCGGCACACGAAGCTGCCCCGTCGCCTTCGATCCCATCTGTTGCAGGGCTGCGTTTAAATACGGGAGGAATGCTCGGACAAAATGCCATCGCCACACCGGCTCACCATCCTTCACCCCCTATTGGGGCAGTACCAGTGCCCACACCTACACCTGTGGCTCCTTCTGGACAAGCAGGATCGGCTCATGCTGGTCCTGTCGCTCCACATGCAGGGCCACCGCAACGTACTGGTCCAGCTGCCAATGCACCTGCGCCAACCTACGAAGAAAAACGTTTGGCTAAATTGCAATCTTCTGGTGCTACGGTCATTGCACCAGCAGGTAATACCAAATCGATTAACCCTAAAGGGATAGTGGAAAGTTTACCTTTCGATACACCAGGTTCAAGGGCCGGGGTGGCGGCTCGCCCTGGTCAACAAGCTGTCGCTGGTGATGATGATGCGCCAATTGTTCGGTATTTGCAAAAAGCTTTGACCACGGCTATTGAGTTGGGTGTATCTGACTTACACTGGGAACCCTATGAAACGGGAATGCGTTTGCGTTATCGGATGGACGGTATTCTGAAAATTGTTGCGACCAATATTCCGCCTGATGCTCGCGAAAAGTTGATTACTCGGATTAAAGTGTTATCCAAGCTTGATATTGCCGAAAAACGGATCCCACAAGATGGTCGTTTGAAGCTCAACGTGACCACAACGAAAGCGATTGATTTCCGGGTTTCTTCACTGCCAACCATTTGGGGTGAAAAAATTGTCATGCGGATTTTAAATTCGGATGTCGAAATGCTTGATCTCAATCTGCTCGGTTATGAACCAGAGCAGCTTACAACGATTTTAGATGTCATTAGTAAGCCTTATGGTATGGTTTTGGTCACAGGACCGACAGGCTCGGGTAAAACGGTTTCTTTATATTCTTGTTTATCGATTTTGAATGATGGTGAACGCAATATTTCGACGGCTGAGGATCCCTGTGAAATTCAAGTGGTTGGAATTAATCAGGTGAGCGTCAATGAGAAAGCAGGATTGACTTTTGCTAGTGCCATGCGTTCATTTCTGCGGCAAGATCCTGATATTATTATGGTGGGTGAGATTCGTGACCTTGAAACGGCTGATATTGCCGTCAAAGCTTCGCAAACGGGTCACTTAGTGTTTTCTACATTGCATACCAATGATGCTCCAAGTACATTAGTGCGCTTGTTAAACATGGGAGTTCCTGCGTTTAATATCGCTTCATCGGTCATGCTCATTACTGCACAACGTTTGGTGCGTAAGTTGTGTAAAGCTTGCAAGCAACCGTATACTTACCCGCGCCAAGAACTCTTGGATGCAGGCGCTACTGAAAAAGACTTGGAAACCCCTTGGACGACGTTTACGACAAAAGGCTGTGAAGTGTGTGAGGGTACAGGGTATAAAGGACGTTTGGGGGTGTATCAGGTGATGCCTATTACGCCTGAAATGGAAAAATTGATTCTGGCCAATGGCACCGCACCAGAAATTGCCGCACTTGCGCAAGAACAAGGCGTGTGGGATTTGCGCCAAGCGGGCTTACTTAAAGTGAAAGCTGGCTTAACGACGCTCGAAGAAATTGTTGCTAATACCAAGATCAGCTAGGAGTACTAGATGGATGATAATTTATTACAGTCTGACGGACAAGCAGACGGCAGTAATCCTAATAATGCTAGAACGGCGGCACGAGGCGCACGTCAGGTGCAGCGACGCAGTGGTAACAAAGTTGTTAAAGCGCAAAGCGAGTATAACTTCTCATGGGAGGCTCGTGATGCCCGTCGCAAGATTTTTCGCGGCGAAATTGTTGCCCTCAATGAAGATATCGTCAAGCAGCAATTACGTAGCCAGAACTTGATTCCGCTTAAAGTCAAAAAAACAGGAAAAGTCCGCCCGAAAAAAATTGATAATAAACAGGTTGTTGACTTTACTAGACAATTATCGGTGATGTTGAAGTCAGGTATTCCCTTGTTACAATCACTTGATATTATTGGTAAAGGGCATAGCAATCCAGGGTTTACGCGTTTGATTGGTAAAATTCGTTCCGACATCGAAAATGGCTCCAGTTTAGCTGCGGCGTTGTCAAAATATCCCAAGCAATTTGATGATCTCTATTGCAACTTAGTTGCAGCCGGTGAGCAATCGGGCTCTTTAGATTCCATTTTAGAACGTTTGGCCAAATACAAACAAAAAACCTATGAAACCAGTCGTAAAATCCGCAGTGCTTTGATGTATCCTGTGATTGTGGTTTTAGTGCTTTTTATTGTGATCGCGATCTTAATGATTTTTGTGATTCCAACGTTTAAATCTATGTATGAAGGGTTTGGTAGCGAACTACCTTTACCAACCCAGATAGTGGTGAGCATGTCGGAGACTTTTATTGAGTACTGGTGGATTATCATTCCTTTACCTTTTGTACTGGCATGGCTATACAGTCGTTGGATTCACACTTCTGCCACGGCTCGTAAACGTCATGATGCGATGATGCTCAGACTGCCTATTTTTGGCGAGTTGGTACAAAAAGCGTCTTTAGCACGCTGGAGTCGGACATTTGCTACTTTATTCTCAGCTGGTATTCCAATTTCGGAATCCTTTGATTCTATTGCAGGCGCTTCTGGTAACGCGATTATTCGCGATGCAACCTTAGATGCCAAAGAGCAAGTGCGCGCGGGGGTGAACTTAAAAGGTGCTTTGATCAATACGCACCAATTTCCCAACTTAATCACACAGATGATAGGGATCGGTGAAGAGTCAGGTAGTTTGGATGAAATGCTCAATAAAGTTGCTGAAGGTTATGAATTTGATGTCGATGTGATTACGGACAATATTTCAACCTTAATTGAACCGATTGCAATGGTGTTAGTGGGTAGCGTAGTTGGTTTTATTTTGATCGCTATGTACCTGCCGATCTTTAAAATGGGTCAAGTGGTTGGTTAATGTTGATTTTATAAACCTAAACGCTAAGCATGGCTTGGTGTTCAACAGAGTTGTTTCTCATGATGGATTTTTTCCAATCAATGATTCAAGGCCCACTGCAAGAGTGGGCTTTTTTGCCAACATGGTTTTGGGTCATCAATTTTGCTTTGTTTGGCTTGATTTGGGGTAGTTTTATTAATGTTGTCGTTTATCGGCTTCCCGTGATGTGGCAACGGATGGAAGAAAACTACATTGCTGAAAAAGCAGGTTTGCCCCTTCCTCATACGGAAATCTTTAATTTAAATCGTCCTCGTTCACGTTGTCCTAAGTGTGGTCATTTAATTGCATGGTACGACAATATACCTGTATTAAGTTATTTGATTTTAAAAGGAAAGTGTCGCTATTGTCATACGTCTATTGCTTGGCGTTATCCGATGGTTGAACTCGTCAGCGGTTTGTTGTGTGTATTTTGTGTGGTTTGGTATGGCATTGGTTTTAAAGCTGTGATTTTCTCTGGTTTAGCGTTAGCCTTATGGACGCTCACTTTGATTGATTGGGATACGCAGATGTTGCCCGATGAGATTACCTTACCCCTAGTATGGTTAGGTTTATTGATTAATCTGGATGGTTACTTGGCGCCCTTAAGTTCGGCTGTGACAGGTGCAATGGTAGGTTATTTAAGCTTGTGGACTGTCAATACCTTGTTTCGCCTCATCCGTGGTATGGATGGTATGGGGTATGGTGATTTCAAACTGCTTGCAGCTTTGGGAGCATGGTTTGGCTGGCAGGTGGTACCATTTGTGGTTTTAGTCGCATCGGTGGTGGGAACGCTTTATGCAGGGCTGGCTATGTTGAGTAAAAACTTACAATGGCAACAAAAATTTGCGTTTGGCCCTTTTATCGCCTTAGCGGGAGGTTTGCTGATTGTGTTGTACAAAAACCCCTCATGGTGGCATATGCTGATGTTGTGGAACTATTAATGCTTCAATTTTATGGGAAAGCTAAATTCATCAATTCCTTTTGTGGTCAGTTTAACAGGCGGTATCGGTTGTGGCAAAACGGTGGTTTCCAATCGTTTAGCACAGTTGGGCGCTCACGTCATTGACAGTGACGTGATTGCGCATGAAATCACACAAGCCGATGGCGCAGCAATTGCGCCAATTCGTCGAGCTTTTGGTGATCAGGTTATTGATAGTGAAGGAAAAATGAATCGTGTCAAAATGCGCGAAATCGTTTTTACTGATCCACAGGCTAAAAAACAACTTGAGCAGATCACTCACCCGCTCATTTTTCAGACCATGCAAACCTTGTTGATGGAAACAACGGGTCGCTTTCCTTACGCGCTGCTTGTCATACCTTTGCTGATTGAGGCAGGCCATTGGCTCGGTCAATCGCATCGTACTTTAGTGGTCGATTGTCCTGTCGCGACACAAATTGCTCGCGTACAAAGTCGTAGTCAGCTCAGTCGCCAAGCGGTTTTAGCTATCATGGAAACCCAAGTTTCAAGAGGTGAGCGCCTTGCTGTTGCTGATGATGTGATCTTTAACGATGGCTCATTACAAAGTGTGTTGATGTGTTGCGACACTTTGCACGCAAACTATGTAAAATATGCAGCTCAAGTCGGGCGTTAAAGCCCTACCGATTTTTGGCTTCTTACAAATATATAACCTATTAAAATTATGATTGATATTTCTCGATT